AATAACCCAATTATGTCGTAATTGCATAAATATGCCTATATGTCGTAATTACGTCGTAATTGCATAAATATGCCTAGTCTAATTATTATCAGCAAATGCGACTTCATACTGGAAATCCATGTGCACCCAAGTCTATACTTTTTTTCCATCGTTCACGTATGTATTACCGGGTTAAAGTACCGACATCGGGACCATTTTCGATGTAAAATTGTCCACGGAATCTATGCAATCGTGGGCGGATTCGAAGCCGTTTGACGCCGTTTTCACGGGTTCTCGCCGACAGGGAACGGCCAGCGTGGACACGCGAACGAGAAAATTAGAACGATCGGAGGAATTTGAAAGGAATGCGTCGGCACTTGATTCTGTCCTGCCGGAACGTTATCATCCGGCCAGTGTGTGTGTATGTGTGAGAGAAAGAGGAAGAGAGGGGGAGACTCGTTTCCGTGTTTGCTGCGCGCAGACGATCGGATTACGGCGACGATCGCGACAAGGGGACATTTTCGGCATCGTATGAACGCGACGCCGTGCGTACGCGTAACTATGCAGAGGTGGTGCCGGTTCTCGCGACACGAGTTTCGCTCCTTTGTAGCTCGCGAACAACCGGCACCGCTGCGGATATTTTCGGGTAAATAGCGCACCGCTTGCGATGGTACAGGTGTTGCTAATCCGCGCTAGTGAGGCGTTCCTGCCGCCGCCCCTCCCCCTCTGTCCTTATTGTTGTTCGTCTTTATTACGCGGGCGAACACAATTGTTACGGTTAAACGATAATCGCCCGGACCTTATGCAAATTCGCTTAGATCCCGGTTCGCGGGAAGGAGTTTTAACCGCTGCACACCGGCAACAGCGACGAGCGCACATGCTTCCGTAGTTGGTCAAATTTGCTTCTTTCGAACAGTGGCTAGTGCAAGGTGCGATTAATTGGAGGAGATTCGATTCGAGTTTTTATGTGCTGGCGCCGCGAGTCTGCTTCGAATCGGCTTTTTTGAAACAGCGGCAAGGAACAAAGTGAACGAAGCTGATGCGATTCGAGGTCTTACAAATTCGCATTGTAATTTCTTATGTTGTCTTTTGTCCTTAATAATTTTTTTGTTCCAGTGGAACCAGGAAATTCTTATTTATTATATACAAATTCTTATATATAAATATAATATTATATATAAAATATTATATAAATATATTATATAAATATTATATAAATATTATATAAAAATTCTTATATATAAATATTATATAAATATTATATAAATATTATATAAAAATTCTTATATATAAATATTATATATAAATTCTTATTTATTATATAGTGAGAAATGGTATAGTCGTTCATATATTAAGAAAGTTTCTTAAAACTCAATTAAATGACTTGGATTCTTCTTAGATGACAGAGGAATTAGTCTACTAGACGATGACTAAAATGCCTTTTTTAAATTTTGCTATTACATTGGATTACAAAAAAAAGAAACTCTCGTCTTTTAACTTTTTTATCTGAGCCTATAACAAAAATTTTTAATATTATGTATACGAGATATTATTATTATTTCGTAGATCTCGGTAGCTCATACGCGTGCTGAAAATTTGATCGAAATCATTTAACCGAGTTTAATTCAGATTTCTCTCAGATTAAATCTCTTTAATCTCAGATTTCAAAAATCAGATTTCTTCCAGCTTTTAGTCAAAATCGTGATTTTTACCATCTCTAATTTGTTGTAACTCATAACAGCGTCAACCGATTTCGATATAATTTTCAGCATGCATATAAGATACCGAGATCTACCGAGATAGAGGCATTTTTTAAATTTCCGTGATAGTTAATGAAAAAGTTAAAAAACAAGAGTCCTTTGTTTTTGTCATTCCAAGTAATAGCAAAATTTAGAAAAAGCATTTTGCACACTATCATCTACAAAAAGAATTCAAGCCACCCAGTTCTACTTTAAAAAAGTCATTTGCGTTTTACAAGGTGTACGAACACTTTTGTGGTCTCGACTGTATTTACTCTCATTCCTATATTTCCTTAATAAAAAGAATCAAGTTTATTAACTCGTCAAGTTTGCAACGTTTCAACGTAAATCTACTTGCACTTAATAATATGGAAATATGCGATGTTTACCGAAACAATAATAATAATCGACGATAATCGTCGGTCCGGTTAAGGGTTACAACAAACGGCTAACATTTACATTCAGTGGATTACGTAAGCATCTTTATAACAGAAACAGATCGAGTATCCAGATGTTACGTTTCGTTCGTGTAAATATCGGGGAATACATAGTTCGGCGAGCCGCAGCAGCCGCCGGGGGGTCGGTGACGTGTCGATTATGGCGTTGCCCGTGAACATCCAGTCGACGGCGAAGGTGTAAGTTAGAGTGTAAGTTACCGGGGGAAAATCCAGTTTCGCAACAAGCCCTCTTTGCCACCGGTAATCTTGTTCGGCAAACAATAACAGACCGGCGCGGCGCGGCGCGGAGCGTCAGCCGTTCGGAGGCGGCGCGATGACGCAGCCCGCGCGCGCGTCCGACCCTCGTTTATTCAGCACCACGTCTGGGAAGATGAGGACCGTGTTTATCGCGGAATGTACGTGTCTGAAGGACGTTCCGGAATTCGGCGGGTTCCGAGCGGGAGGGTTCTCTCGCTGCTGGCGAAGCGTTTTCTTCGAGGAATTCGACGCGATCGGCTCGCGATCTCCTCCGCGACTCACCGCAAACCGCTGCAAACTATCGGCAACCGGTCCCGGCGTGTGTTCGAAATTGTTCCGCAGTTATGGCAGCCTCGGCACCTCGGTGATTATTGTAGTCGGAACCCGTGTCGCATCGTCGAGTCCAGTCGTGGTCATCGGAAACACGTTTACGCGACGTCCACCTGCGTCAAACGACGCCGCCCCCCTCGTCAATTTCTTCGACCTCTTTAACTGTCTGTCTTCTCCAACCACCTTCTCCCCCTCCCCCCTGGCCACCGCAGCCAGACGATACGCAAGTGAAATTGCCTGAGAGAAGCTTCGCTTCGCCGTGCCATTTATTTGCAAGTCTAATGGCCGCCGGATTGCGCGAGCCATTTCTCAGGTGGAAGCGTCTATACCGGACATTTTTCAGGGCCTTGATTTTTCGTTTGGACGTGTCTGTCTATCATTCACGCTCAAATGAAAGGATCGCGTGATTCGCGATCCCGGTAACGCCCCGGTTTAAGCTGCGGCGTGCACGGACCGCGCTTGTCGCTGCGTTCTTAACGCTTCCGCTCGAAAGAGAATTAACTGGAAGATCTTAGTCGCTGTTTGAACAGTCCTCGACGAGCTGTAATCTTCGCTTGACTCGCGCCCCGAAGAAGAAAACGAATCCCAAGGTTTGTGCAACGCTCTCAGCCAGAAGTATCGGGGACGAGATTCAGTCCACGGCTGTCAGTGATCTACTAATTTTTCACTTAAAACCGCAACCCTTGCACGGGTCACTGACCACTGCGCCAATCCCGATTTCAAGCCAATAAGGGTCGCACACCTGGGTAACTTCACCTGCACAGGGTGCAGAGAACGCTCGATGAGGCTAGCTAACATTTCACTTGACACTGGAACCACTGAACGGCAACAGCTTGCAGGTCGCAGTGACTTTTTAAACTCAGCACCGCGTTTCTCGCGTTATCGGTTGATTTTTATTGCTACGTCGATTTCGAATTCTGCTATGCTAATGCAGTAAATTCTGCCCAATTTTCCTTCCGCTTGTGAACGAAAGTGGACAGTTTCGGAAGAGGAGACGCGATTAGTCGAGTCACGCGGTTCATTTTTTGGGCTCGTTTTTCGTGACTCGTCAATCATAAAAACAAGGTGCAAGGCTCCAACAATCGTACCTCCTCTCCCCGAACTGTTCAGTTCGGTTCACAAGCTGACAGAAAATTAGGGAGTATTTACTGTACTATCATTAAACAAAGAATCTGAATCGGTGATTTCGACAACTGCTTTATTTCCCGTCCGGCGCCGCGAAGACGCGTTTCGTATCCGCTAGTGACGCGTCCTGCACGGCCAAGAAGAAATCATACTGCACCCCGGTGCCATCTAAACTACGATACTATAAAAGATCCCGAATCAAACGGATAAAGGTCCGTAAGTATTTCGACCTCGATACGTGCGACATCTTTCCGAAACCTATGCTCCCGCGAATATTAGATAGTAAAGCGGGTGCCGCGGTCGCGGGGCTCGGAATATTTCTCAGGTAATATACCGCGGGGTTAGTTAGAATTTCCAAGTATAGCGAAGTTCCACTTATAATAAACTAGAAGTGGGACAGGTCGGTTCGCATAACCAGATTGTGCTCTCCAATTATATGAATTTCCGACGGTTTAAATGCTAACAGCTCGGCCGGGAGTTCGGTCGAATCGGTCGCTGCGAACAAAAAAAGAGTCTTGCTCGTATAAACGAGGAGCAAATAAAAAAAATGAAGTTTCGATGTAGCCAAGTTCCGCGAGTCATGCTCCATTATCGCGTCGCGCTAACTTTCAAGACAGAGTAATGCGTGCAACACGTCGGCGATACCCGAAGTTCCGAAGTTCCGTGACGCTGTCGGCAGAAAATCTATGGCACTCGCTTTCTTCTACGTTTCGATTGCTACAATCGATCGATAGAACAGAAGAAGGATACCAAAAAAAACAATAAAAAAAAATAAAAATCTTCTCCGTCTTCCGCTTCCTCGGAAACAAAATCCGCGGTTCCGTTTTCGTTGGATTATTCGTAGAAGCGGTGGAAACATCTAGAAAAAACGCGCGGCAGAGGACGCGGGGGTGTCCGATCGGTTCCGAAATTCCGAAATCTGTCATCGCGCGGTAGGGGAGAGGGGTGGTGGAGGTGCCGGCGTGCCGCGAGGGGGGTGGAAAAAGAGCATTTTCGAAGGAGGCAGGCATCAAACAACCCCTACTGCCGGAATCGCAGGGTATTGCGCTCGCGCAAGGTCGGCGCGCGTGTCCGTGTTCCTCGTATAGTATATACGACGACGCGGGTAGAGCAGTAGCACCGGCACCACCATCAGCACCAGCCAGCATTCAGCAGCAGCAGCCTCGTCGTGGCTAAAGGGGCTTCGGGATGTCGTACCGCGAGCGCTAGTCCGTCGCGGTGTGTCGTCGTGTTACAATCGTATCCTCGTCCGCGTCCTCGTCCATCGTCCACGTCGCGTCGTGTCGCGTCGACGATCACAGGTGCTGGGTGCCAGGTGTTTTCGAGTTCGTCGCCAAGTTTATATTCGATTCGTGACGCCGGGGATCGGACGCGACGTCGCTTCGACCCCCGATCGAGTCCGTAAACGGGTTCCCGAAGGGGAACGCGATCGTCTCGCGTCGCAGCCTCTGATCGCCGATTTCCCCACCGATCGCCGACTTCTCGATCGACCCTCGATCAGGTTCCGACAGCCGGATTCGGTCCGACGGTATCGGACGTTCGGTCTCGCCGAGGATTTTTCGTTCGCGATCGATCCGTATCGTGCCGCGGACGGGTCCGCGGATCCCAAAGGCAGAGCCTCCGCTTGGCCGCGCCGTTTGCTCGGGCCGTGTGTTCGACGCGTCGGAACGTCGGCGCCCCGATATCGTTTGATACTATCGATGCCCGGGGATTTATCGCGACATAAGGTGTCCGTTTTTATTTGCCGACGGCGCGGCGAGGCGGAGGCGGGCGCCCATCGCATCGGCGAGGGGCGGCAGCGAACGTGCCGAAGTGGCATTCTTGTAATTGGAACGGGAAACGCGAGCGTACCACCGTGATCTTGAAAAATCGACCGGGCCCGGTTTAATGAAATTTTTTCGCCCCTCCTACCCTCCTCGCGCCGGTTTCTCGCCCCTGTTCCTCGATCAAATTACGCTCTCGCCGATATCCGGCCGAGATCTCCTCCGCGCGTCGCGACGAGAACCGTCGGCCGATACCCGTATGAAAAAATATCATCGGCGTTCGGGCGCGGATCGCGCGCGCTCGGGCCCGACGCGCTGACGCGGATTTGCACGCGATTCGGCGGTCTGTAAATCGTCGCGGAAGATTTACGACGATCATCAACGATCCTACCTGCCGGCCGTTACGGACCCATAATATTTCCGGATCGATCGCGCTGTACCGGCGATCAGAGGCACGAACCACCACCGCGCGCCGCGCCGACGAGCGGGATCGTGCTCGGCGTTGCGTGTGCGGCACGCATGATTTTGCCAATAAATAACCGGCTACATTTATCGAAGTCCGTTGCACGCGGTTTACGGTGATCGGCCGCCGCGCCGCAGCCCGGCTATCGTTATCGATTAATCAAAACGCGGAGAGAGGCCGGACGACGACGACGGGGCGCGCGCGACCGATGTGAGAAAATCATAGTGAACGGCGAACAAAACGCGGGCTCCAGAGTGATCCCCCAGGGACGTTCGTTCGATCGGTGCTGGTTGCCTTCGAGAATCCCCGACGATCGTCGACGATCATCAACGATCACCGACGATCTTTGACCAGCCGAATCGTCGGCGAAGTGCGTGAACTCGCAAGTGAATTGGGGGAACGGGAGTGCAGTGGGATAAATGTTTCATGGACAGAGGTGGTCTTCTTCTCCGTGCAGGTAATACCGAGAAGGACTCGTCTCGGCTGCGATCGAAGGGCTCCGCGGATCCTCGACGATATGTCCCCGGAAATCCACGGACTCCCGTGAAAAAGTACGTATTATCTGGCGGCGCAGGGCGTCGGAACGACACGCGGAGAGCGGGCGACGCTACATCGGGGGGCTAACGTATCGGGGATTTGGAGCTTTGTCGCGCGGCGCGAGAGTTATGGACGATTTGTAGCCGCGCTCTTTTTAAAAGACTTATTACGGAGCTTCCTCGATAAGCGTTATAAATCAAAATTTCCAATTGGCCGGACCCCGGCTCGCTGCGAGCACGGCCCGCTTGAAATTTCCCGGCCCCTGATTTATGGAAATCTCTCTATTTAGGTGGTGCTCGCACGCCCACGCGCCGAACCCGCGCCGCGCCGATCCGCGAGCTCCGGCGACCGTTATCGTTAACGAAACGCCCGGAATTTTTTCCGAGTACACGGCCGGACCGTGTCGAACTACTTTCCCCAGCACGCTCCCTTTCCCCAGCCTTTCCGCTGATGTATGAATATATTCGGACGCCGGCCGAGTGCTCGACCGCGACACTCGATTCACGGCGTTTTAATGGGACATGTAATGGATTCGCGGTATTTGTCCGTGTTTCCCTCGATCCCAAACTCCCGCCGAGTGTTCTCTTTGAGCCCAAGCGGACGCAAACATCAGCAACTTCTCTATCCGTTCGCTTCACCTCCACTCGCTCTCTTTCTCTCTTTCCCTCTTCCCTCTCACCCTTTCGCATTCTCTCTCTTTCTCTCTCTTTCTCTCTGTCTCTGTCTCTATCTCTGTCTCCATCTCTCTCTTTCTCGGCTCTTTCTCTCTTTCGATGACTTCAAACGGTTTCTCGAGTGTGCTCGAGCCGAAGTGCTCTTGCAGTTACAAAGATATACGTTGCCGATCGGAAAGTGTACGGTGTGTCCTCCCGCCCGTCCCGCTCGCCCCCGGCCCCCGCGTGCCGTTAGAGAACGCTCGAGCCTGCTGATGCACACTTTTGCGGTACAAAGAATGATTATATTCCTGGCGGGGGTGGCAAGTGCCCGCGCCACCCTTCTTCGAGATGCGTCGGGGGCCGGTGTGCAATCATCGAGAAACGTTTGATGCCCGCGCCGAAACACGGACTTCCGCCGGACGCGGCGGGGAAACGCGGGAAATTTGATCGATGGACGTCGGACGGGAAATTCAATGAAATTTTCCCTTTGCGCAAAAATCCGCACCCTGCTCGCCCGCGGAATATTAATAAACGGCTGGGATCGTTGGCGAACGGAGAGACCGAGAGAGAGGGGGACCGGGGGGGTTTCTGTCGCCCCGGTTCCGGTGTGCCCGAAACTTTTCTTGATCGGGGAAAAATCATTTGCAAACGGACTTCTTCGATTTACCCCTCCGTCAGCCTGTTGAGAGGCGCACAAAGGTGGCGGTAAGCACAACTTTCCTCGTTAAGGAACGTTGATCTGAATAAGCCCATTCTTCGGTTGTCCATCGAATCCCAAAGAAACGCTCGGGGAACAGTTTCATTCCCCTTTTTTCCTCTCGTGCCGTTTCCCTTATCCGTTTTTTACACCATCCTCGCTCTCTTTCCTTCTCTCTCTCTCTCTCTCTCTTTCTCTATCTATCTCTATCTATCTTTCTCCCTGTTTCTCTTTATTTCTCTACCTTTCTCATTCTCCGGCGACGCTCATCGCGCGGCGGTGTTCTGTTGCTTTCACGGCGTCGGTAGTTACCAACTTTTAATATTAGATAAATAATCCGCTCCGCGATTGTCTCGGCTATTATCGAACTTGTCGCGATAGTTTACGCTCCCTGGCCGGCGCTTAAAAGTTAAACAAAACGCCGTCCGCGAACTTTAAAGATCAATTTTTTTTCGCCCCCCGCTCCGTTCGCCAACGTCTCGCCGAACTTCTCCGCGCCATTGAGCGGACGTTATCCCGACGTTTTCCAACGGAAAGTTAAGAACTATGCGCGGCTAATGATGCACGAACGTTCCACGACGTTCGCGACTCCTTTCCCAACGAATCTTCGTTAGCCACCGCGACAGGTCTATTCAGAATCGCGAAAGGAGAAATTACAATTTAATCTAGCGGACGTCGGCGAATTGTCTCTGTGTCGATAAATCATTGTTAATAACAATAGTAATAATAATAATAGTATATATTGCTCGCGGGATATCGTTTAAACGAATAGTTTTAGCCTATTTTGGCTATTAACCTATTTAGCCTGTTTTAGTCTGTAGCCTCGCTCAAAAATTTACAAAACTCATTTACGTTATAATTTTATTAATAAAATTTCACATACTGTACGGTGTACAGTGCAACTATTTACGGAGCAGGGTGTTGCGACTCTGAAGCGCCACTAAAATATTTATATAATATTTTTCAAAATCATTCTAAGAGCATCAGACTCGTTTCTATTAAAAAATAAAATTGTTAAAATTGCATTGTACTTGTCAATATTTGCATTGTACTTCTTATATTCATACGCATAAGTCGCAATAAATTGTATAAGATAGATCAGAAATCATGTTCTGCATTTCGAATTCAAATAGCTTCGACCGCGAAAGGGTTAACTTAAAGTGAGAGAGAATTTGTGGAAAGACAATAACGACAGATTTGCTGAGAAATTGATCCCAAAATCGCACAGAATCTCCGTCGCTTTTAATCCTGCGTCACCAACGTCTAAAACGTACACGACATTTCCGATAGTTTAATAATAGATTATTTTATACACACCATTTCCTTTTAGACCGCTTTTAATTCTGCGCCAGCAATGTGTAAAATGTACACGACACTTCTGAAAGTTTAATAACAGATCATTTTGGACACGCCATTCCCTTAGTCCGTTCGGATCTTCTTGAGTAGGTTGACGGATTTTCCGGGTTATATTCTATTATTAGCGCGACGGTTAGCGAAAACGGAATTCGCTAACCTATATTCGCTATATTTATTGGGTTGGCAACTCAAGTAATTGCCGATTTGTTCAATGAAATAAAAAATTTTTTCTTACTTGGAACGAAGTTTAATCTGTGATGTATTTTCCATTTTGTTCGATGACCTTTTGCCGTCTCTCTGACAACTTGAAAATTCCGCGCTCGTAGAAAGTCTGATCCTTTTCGGCCAAAAACTGAGTTAAGTGAGATTTTACAGCGTCATCGTCATTAAAAGTTTTACCACGAAGGGAGTCGTCCAAATAAGTGGTAATCCGACGGCGCGAGATCAGGGCTATATGGTGGGTGTAACATCGATTCCCAACCAATATCCATGAATTTTTGCCGAGTGGACAAAGACGTGTGCGGCCTAGCATTGTCCTGCTGGAAAATGACACCTTTACGATTGACCAATTCTGGTCGCTTTTCCTTGACCGCTGCATTCAATTTGTCCAGTTGCTAACATTCACGGATAATAAAAAATAACATAATAATAATAATAACAATAATAATAATTTTATAATATAACATTTACGGATATCATAAAAATGGGAGTGAGAGACATCTATAACTGAAATCGGCAATTACTTAGTTGCCAACCCAATATTTCTTCTCCTGCTCGTTCAGGTATGCGAATTTTTCTCGAGACTACGTTTTCTCCGATGCGAAAGCGTTCCAGTAATTTCAATAAGCGCGAACAGAGCGTAAAAGATCCGGGGGACCGGTTGCGGTGTTAACAACAGTTTCGTTCAGCGACGAGGGACCCTAATTGCGATTCTTTTCTTCCAGAAGAGACTGTCGCACGCGCGCGAAACGGCGCATTAGTCGGGCCACGCTACGTTTCGCGTGTTCGGCAATTATCCAAGACGCAAAACGACACCGTGGACGCTCTGCACGCGGAATGTAATTACAAGCGTTTCGTCGCAATCGGTCGGTCACACCGGCGTTCTCTCTCGTCCCCGCAAAATTCGTCGGTCGACCTACGCAACTATCGAGAATGAGTTATCCTCGCTCGGCTCGTAACTGCGAATTTATGAGCGGCCGTCCCCCGTCCACTCGTTTTCGTACGCCACTGGACTTTGAATATTTCGTAAGGCAGCCAACCAGCGACGATTCCGCTCCGAGCGTTAACGCGCGGTTTCTCGAATCTTTCGGAAAAACTGCGGCTCCTCGTTACGTACCAATTTTTCGGCGCAGGTTTCGTCTCGTTGCCGACGGAATTATCTTTAACACCTTTCCGAGCACTGTCACGCATTTCAGTATCTCTGTTTGCGTAACAATAGGTAAATTAATTTGATTAAATGTCGTCCTATGAAGACATAAAACGTAACAGAAATTTCTAGATCGTTTTATTATCTCGTGGAGAGCTGTACGCGGACACCTTTTAACACTTAGCGCACGAAGGCTCCGCTACGGAGACATTTGTCATTTGTTCCGTAACTCCGAAGGCTCCGCTGCGGAGCCAAATGTTTTTAGCATACGTTATCGTCGGCGTTAGCAATTGTTATCTGTAGTTAAAACGTGCTATGTCTGTATCATTACGATTAAAGCATTTTTTGACCTTTTCTATGGTTAGCAACATGGAGAAAAATAAATATTACGATGAGAATTTAGAGCCGAGCGATACCGAAGACGTATTTGATTTTGAAGAGTTAAAAGACATTGTGGAAGACAATGTTGGTTGTGATTCTGACGCTTCGAGTAGTAGTAGCGAAACTATACTACCAGAGAGACGAAAAATGGGAATTATTGAAAGTGAAAGCGAAGATTCGTTACAAGACTTAGACGAATGGCGCGATGTTACGGAAGAATTACATGTTCCAGATAGAATACCTTTTAGCGTATTGCCACAGGTCATTGGACCACAAGTTCCTACAAACATTGAACAGCCGATACAATATTTTAAATTATTTTTCACGGATGAATTGGTAAATGAAATTATAAAGGAAACCTACGATTACGCAGAAAATGTTCTAAACTTGAAAGAAATATCTAGTAACACTATTTTTGGCAAAGCGAATACTGTGATACTTGTCCAAGTAAACCCAAAATGCACATGAGAGATTGTTACCAAAGATATCGCACCATGGTGAATTACAAAATTTAAACTTTATATTTATAGTATGTTATAGTATATATTATTATATACT